ACGTGGTACCGACGCTTCCTGAAAGTCTTATCATTCTAGAGTTGTTTACATTGGATATGGATACGTTTCCAGATCTCTCAAACCTGACTAATTTAAAGGAATTGAAGCTGCGGTTTAGCGAACATGATGATGGTGTGGAATCTGATGGGCGTGTGGAAGAATATCCGATGCCACGGTGGATTGGGAATTTAAGCAAACTGGAGACTCTGGACCTAATCTCTTATTATGTGACCCACTTACCCACGGATTTTAGTAGTCTCCTTCCTCGACTCCAAAGACTTGAACTCTGGTGCCGTAATCTGCGTTGCCTCCCGAGCCTTCCCTCCAGTTTATCATCCTTAAGTTTGGTAGGTTGCAAGTCAATTTGTTCCTTGGGGGATCTATCGAATTTGAAGAACCTATCAGATCTTCGGATTATTGAATCTGTAATCTCAGAGATGCGAGGCCTTGATGGTTCGGAGAACCTAGATTTGCAGCTTTCGGAACTTCAACAGGTGTGGATATTACCTGATCTAAGTAATCTCAGCCAACTACGGCGTCTTCGTGTGTACAACTGCGATAATCTAGTTGAGATTCAAGGCGAACTACCACAATCTTTGGAAGATTTGGAGATTTATGGATGTGGATCTTTACAGAAGTTGCCTGATCTATCAAGCTTGAAGGGACTGCGATACGTTGATATAAGGTATTGTGGGAAATTAAATGTGGAGGAAATTTCTTTGCCTTGCTCGGAGAAGCCAGTCAGATTTAGGGGATACGAGACGAATTACAGAGGGCAGACTGACGAATATGAAAATGGATATGAGGGAGAAGATGCCGAATCTGAATCTGAAGCGGCGGGAGAAGACGACGAATCTGAGGGAGAAGACCACGAAGTTGAATCTGAATCTGAAGCGGAGGGAGAAGATGATGAATCTGAGGGAGAAGACTGACGAATAAATGCACGTTGCTCTTGAAAGCTTCTTGATCACCGACCGCAAATTGTTTCCTTGTGTGCAAACTTTAAATGAATCGAGGTAAGTTATTTCATCTGACAACCAATGTTTTCCCTTTTTTGCAATCAAACTCTTTTACGGATATGAACAGAGAAGTTTCACATGCACTTTTTAATTACCTTTTCACGAGTTGATGACTAAACATCTGATGAAGGTATTGGAATTATGATACCTCCGGACAACCAGAGGGTTCTTAATTATGTACAGACATTCGTTCTCTTCTACTAGTTTGGTTTGGCTTTTTTCGCTATATTCTCTTTGGATGGTTTCTCCTTGGTTTTATGTTTCCCAATTGGAGGTATGCATGTGGATCGCATCGTTTTTATTTGGCTTGGTTTGTAACAAATTATTAGATATCCTTGTCGATTTGTTACTTCACATATTTCGAAGTTGATAACCTCGCTTCGCATTGGAGATGACTTCCTTGTACTGTAAACAATTAGATGGACTGTGTGTCAGAAGGTCATATAATAACTATGGTTCTCATCCTGGAACTTTACAGCATAATCAACTCATTGTTGCAACCGTGAAGAAGACAGACACCCTTTATTGATATGCTTATCTTCAGTTTATTTTTCAGGAAAGATGTGCTTCTTAGTGGGATTTGCAAATATTATGGAGAAGTCATAAAATGAAGAAAGAGGAATATTACTTGGGTAGCGGATCAATAGTTGGTGCGGCAAAACTTCCACCTCCAAGGTATCATAAATCGTCTTATAGTTAAGGCTAAATTTCAGTAATATCGTTACCTACTGCCCAGGACATATGATAAGTGTCACTTGGGGTTAGAAATCATGTAAATGAAACTCTTGTGTGATCTCGATTATTGCCTACATTTTCTAGAAATGGTTATGCCTCGGTGATTATCTATAATAGAAGCCCTTCCATTCACCTCGGTTATACTAGAGGATTCTTTTAGGTTTTAAGATTGACAAGAGGTGCTAAGGGAGAGATCTCAAACTGCCTTTGTGCTGATTTCTAATGTCGCTGAGAGGAATTAAAGTTTGAAAAACTTACAGAAATCTTATTGCGCAGGGAGCTGTGGCTAATTGGGCAGCTGTACAAAGACTGAATAAAGGAAAATGAAAATGACGTCCAAAGTGAAGTTTTACGTCCACTTTATAATTACTTTATGAGTTGATGCCTGGAAATTTGAAGAAGGTATTGAAATTATGGTACCTCCGTATAACCAGGGGGTTCTTAATTATATACAATTATATGTTTTCTTTTCCTAGTTTGGTTTGGCTTTTTTTAGCTATATTCTCTGTAAATGGTTTCTCCTTGCTTTTATGTTTCCCAGCTGGAGGTGTGCATGTCGATTGCATCATTATTATTCGATTTATGACAATTCAATAGATATCCTTGTCGATTTGCTGCTTCATATATTTTGAAGTTGATACCCTCTGATTCACATTGGAGATAACCTTGCTATACTGTAAACAATTAGATGAAATGTGTGTTGGAAGGTCATAGCACTATGGTTCTCATCCTGGAATATTACAGCATAATTAACTCATTGTTGCTATTGTGAAGAAGACATTGTATTGATATGCTTATATTCAGTTTATTTTTTAGGAAAGGTGTGCTTCTTAGTGGGATTTGCAAATGTTATGGAGAAGTTATAAAATGCGGAAAGAGGAATTTCACTTGGGTAGCGGCATCAATAGTTGGTGCAGCAAAGCTTCCATCTGTGACAGGAGAGGAGAACTATTTAGCTTCGCCAAGGTATCATAAATCATATTATAGTTGAGGCTAAATTTCAGTATAATCGGTGTATTGGACATATGAGAAGTCTCACTTGGGGTTTGAAATCATGTAAATCGACCCTTGTGTGATCTCCATTATTGCCTCCATTTTCTTGAAATGGTTATGCCTAGGTGCTTATCTGTAATAGGAGCCCTTCCATTCATCTTAAGTTACACTAGATGACTCTTTTAGGTTTAAAGATTGACAAGAAGTGCTAAGGGAGACATCTCAAACAACCGCCTTTTTGCCGGTTTCTAATGTTGCTGAGGGACTTAAAAGTTTAAGAAACTTACAAAAAGGAAATTATCCTCAAAAGGAAATTGACAGAATAAGTAATGTTGATGAAGGGATCAAGACAATTAAAGATATGCTTTTTAATAAAGGAGATCTCATCGTTTTTTATTATGTTGACCAGAAGAATCATTTGAATGCACTCATGGGTAACATCTGTGATATTCGGGCATTACTGAATTCTTCAATGCTGAATATCAAGCGCTGAAGGAGCTCGAAATTCTTAGTGCTTTTTGTTTGTCATTAAATATCAGTACATTTTGTTGATCAAAGGCATTGCCATCCTTAATGTGAGTTGATCAGGTTGAAATACTTCGCAGAAAGGGATGACATGTGTGAGGCCTCTGATTGTTTCAACTTGAAGAGGTTCAAATGATGCGATGTCTGGCATTGCTTAGAAGCTTCATCCATTTATTGAAAAATTTAGAAGACATGCTCAGCAGAGGAGTTCATTTTCCAATAAGAAGTGCATGTGGTGCTTGAAAGGTCCTGCATCCACAGCCAAGTCTGTTGTCAAGGAAGATTTGAAACTTAGACAAATTTCTTATTGTCCTATGTCATCCCAAGAGATATTCATTGTAGTCTTTCCTGGGATCGTTATCTATTATACATAAATTACAATCACACTTTGGCAAGTTGACTTGAAATCTATTGTTGTAGGCATAGTTATTACTGGCTGTTTTTGCAACCGTTTTCTACCTTTAAGATGGACGCTGTAAACTGCTCATGAAATGGGACCATGATTTTTTTTTATGTATTTCATGAGTTTGATTTGGTTTAGATATATTACTTTTTGACTGCTTTCGTTGGCTAATTGAGTTACCAGTAAAAGACAAAAGTCAAATTGATGCTAGTGTTACTGCATTCAAGTGCATTACTTTTTGTCAATTTATACGTGGGTCATTTATGTGAGATCCTTGGAACTTGCTGGTTTGTACTTTAAATTTGAACCTCATAACCATGCCTTGTAAAACTTAACTTTGCCATACCTTAAACAATGAAGGATATAGTCAATCGTGTAGGTTTTAATCCGTGATAAAAGCTCTTTCATTCACTTTTCGGTTACCTAGGTATGGAGCTTTAGGTTTCAACATTGGTAAGGAGAATCGCTAAATGACAAAAGAGACCTATATGGTGGCCTGAGCTCTTCTCTTGGTAATAAGTAAGAAAAACTTACGGGTTCTTACTGTAAAGGTAAGCTAGGGCTAGCGCAGGTAACTCGTAGATTTGACGACAGTGTATCTTTCCCAACGTTTTGGTGATGTACTTTGGCTTTTACCGTATTGTATGAACTACAGCTTATCATATAGTGTCAAGGATTTAACTGGTCTCTTGCTCAATGTGCTTTGAATGGTCACAATAAGCACTTTATGCTCCGAAATGATGAAGGAATTTCAGTTTTCCGGTTTCCGCTAATGTTAATTCCGGAATATCAAAAATAGAAGGTAAATGCTTACAGCTTTCGTTCCAAAGGCCGATCAAATCATTCTTACATGTCTAAACCAAGATGATATAAATTGCTTACCTCCTAAAAGTTGAAATTCAGCAGAGGTTGCCAATTGAAATGACGCAAACTTCAAATAAGATCATTTTTCCAAGATGGCTTGATTTTACTGTCCTGCCAGGAATAGTCGAAGTACTTGGCTGTGTCGAGAAATCTTTTATGTGCCAATAAGCCAGTAGTAGAAGGTAAGGTCACCAATTGAAAAGTGTTCTCCCTAGACAGTCTTTGTTTCACCTTATAAAACCGGTTAATTTCCAAATCATGCAAGTCTAACAATTTCAAAATTCACAAACTTCTGCCAATTTTGTGAAGTTCAACATGAGTTCAACCCCCAAAAAAAGAAAAAAAAAGAAAGGAAATAAAAAAGCAGTGTGATTCGGCTATGGATAGCTCAGCTCAGCATCCACACGTCCTTATTAGGTTTTATCGAGTGTGGTAAAAAATGCCACAAGCCCAAGATTAGATTGACAGGTAAAATTGCGAACGCATTCATTCAATAGGTATCACAGAATTGTATTTACAAGGATGATACATTCAACTTCATGCTATTTACATTCCAAGTGAATTTCAGTAGAGATCCTATGCATCTTGTGATGGACATGGAAACAGATTGATGGAATGCATTACGTGAACAAACTTCATCCAGAGCTACCTAATTATCTTCACAAAATTAGGTGCTGACTTAGGAGCATTTTACGTTAAGTTACTCTTGGCATCGGAGTCTTAACGCAGCCTCAATGCAGAAGAAGAAGGATTCCTGGAAAGCATAAGGTTTCCTTAGTCTTCGCTTCCGTATTCCTTCAATCGTGGGTCCATGACGATTTTGCACGATTCCCAAGTCTCCGCCATTAATTCTGCACCATAGTAGAGTAAATTGTCCGTGAGGCTGTTACCAGTTACCGATCCGCAGAAACACACTCTGATAAGTCATCCGTAAATATTTCCAGTAATAAAGGACTAGCATTCTCTAGAATAAGCTGATCTGTCACATGACTTATTGCACCTGGCATGATAAATCCACAAAATAATTGCTTGTAATAGGTACCTACGACTGAAACTACCTCCTTACCTGCTGCAAATTGGATCTTCTCTAGAGCCATCACAAACTTTCTCGACCTAATAAACCAGACTACCAAATCCTATATTATACAGCCATACCTACAAAAAAAAGAAGGATTCCAATTACATGCGAACACTCACATAAAAAAGAGTAAGATTATCACCAGACAAGCAGGTGGAATCAAATTATTTTCACATTATCTCACATCAATATGTTTATCCGTGACTGTCATTAAGCTAGTTGCCAATATTATAGGCATTAGTAGACATACATAATTTAAATGATTAATACCTTATAATTGCACAGAGCTTAAGACAAGGTCATCAGCCATCATAAAGAGAGAGAGAGAGAGAGTAATACACATTATTACGCGTCTTAAATTTGGAATTGGTACGAGAAACTCATGATAGCTTTATAGGAATGAGAAGAGTTCCTTAAATATTGTTAGAAAGGTCATGAATACTACAAACTGCCCTGCTTTGTTAAGAAGATAAAACAAACAAAACAGTTAAAATTTATACGCTAAAAAAAATGAGAATACGAACATTGTTGGAAAATATAAGACTTCTCTAGTTAGACAGGTTGAAATAAATGCAAAGCAAATGTCAAATGCAGTCAGCGACAATTCCCCATAATTTATCTGATATTCTGTCAAGATCAAAGTCATACCACCCTAGGTAAGTAATGGTATGTCTATTGTGGGAACCAAGAATAGTACGGATGCAAATGAGGCACAATATATGTCCATTAGTTATATGTATAGTATTTGGCATGCTGTAGTAAGAAACAAACATTGCATTGTCAATACGAGGTTGTCCAAATGTCAAAACCTGGACAATCTGTGCTTCGTGATTTACCTGCTGGAAATTAAGTGTCCTTAGTTATACAAGTAAATCAAGTGAGCAATGGTCTGGAAAAAAACAGCTTCACCACACATAGTTAGACGGCCAAATAACTTGAATGTTAATACTTTCATGAGGGGAAAAACTACTATGCATCAATAACCATATATTGCATTTCACATACAAAGGTGAACGATAGAACAACCCCTTCTCTCCATGAGGGTTGGAGGTCTAGTCTTACTGTGTCTTAGATCTCATCCATAATTTTCCCAAAACCAAACCCCACAGCCACAACAAAACCCAACCCACCCTCACATCCAAGAAAAGGTGTTAATAATATGGAATGGTGGTATTGGGGGTGAATTTTCAACCAAGGCGCATTTAAATTGTCACGCCCCGAACCCCTACGACACGCGACACCGCCTCTGATCGATTTAAGCGACGTCCCAGGAATATCGCTGACCTCAAAACGCCATCAAAGATTTACTACCACAGCGGATATCAACAATTAAACCCGGACAATTAAAACTGGGGAGAAAAATCAGGGAGAATACACATATCGTTTTCATTTCCTTCTTCTACCATAATATTTATATTTATAAACTGTCCCATACATGTACATGCACATCGCCTTTCTCAAAAATCGATACTCCAAGGATGAAGACTTGGGTTTACTACTACTCCAAAAATGGTGCTCGCTAAAAACCCATTCTGAGTCTGATTCCTTGTCCTCTGAGTCTGAGTCCCTTTATACCGTCCCATCCACTGAGGACTCCAAAACGTTCTGGTGGCGGTGGCGGAAGATTCATGGGTCCTGTCGGGGTTCTGAAATTGTTGGTTGAAACAACCGTGAGAACATTTCTCAGTAAGTTCACCCCTAAACCCAACCTAGGCTAGGCTAGCATGCAATCTCCTGACTGGAAACAATTATTCAAATCACAATACCACAATAGTCAAACAATTATCTGACCCTGCAGGTTAGGCAGATCAACATATAATAGTCACGGCACATGCGTGGCACGCATAATCACACGTTCATGCACCGATTCTCATACATTCGCATGCCAGTCTATGCATGTTCCATGCATGCAAATGTCGTCTACATGTCATACGCATTCTCTGGCCCACTGGCCCACACTGGCACAATGGCAATTTCCCAATTTATTATTAATTACGACTCGAGTCCACATTATTAACGGCCCGGTGGGTCTAGCACCTTCAAAGTGCATGAGGCGCGACAACCGATCGGCCCGGTGTCTCTAGCACCTTCAAAGTGCATGAGGAGCAACAACGATCTCCTTACGAACCAGAGCCTGCTTCAAAGTGCATGAGGATGGTCGTCTTCCGGACGTACCGGGCATTGTCCTGCTTCAAAGTGCATGAGGACGGTATCGACCCGAAGGTCACGACCCGAAGGTCCTTCGGTGATCACACAACTTATTATTATCTGAACCCAGCGTATAACGCTTCAGGGCATTTTAGGTGATCACATGCTCATGGTATACACGCATTCTCACACAATTTCATCACATACCTTACTCTCGGCATACACAATGCGTGTTCATGTTATGCAATGCAATGCACCATGAGCGCCAATTAAATTCAAACACTCAATATCACCACACGCTGAAACATCACATTGCAGGCACAACAAATAATATTGCCAGGCTCAAACATGTGCACAACATCATTCAAACTCAATCATGTCAGATGTAAACACGCGCATATACCACTCTTATCCCATTATTCCGTCCATTCTCATTTCCTCTTTCTCATTCTTCGCCAGTGACCCGCGTAAACGTACACGCCTCAGGTACACTGCGACCACTCACCACATCCGGCCCGCGTACTAGTTCACGCCTCAGGCCCCTCGATCGCGCCCCGAGCATCACACGCCTCGGTCCGATCCCACATTCACTTTCTCATGCCATTGCCTCAAATTCCGTGCACACTTGCACCCCACACTTCACCACATCACCATTTTCACACAAAAGCACATTTTCGCATAAAACAACATTTTTCTTTGTTCAAATGTTTTCAAATCATTTTTAGCCCTTCATGGGATTTTCATAAAATTCCAAGACGGACCTAACGGTACCGAACACGCATCAAACGACTCACCACAGCACAGTGCACAGTACTCCCACAGCTCGTGAACAGTAATTTCTGCACTCAAATCACAAAATCACACCACCGACTCTTCCCGACACTTACATGAAACTCCGAGCCGGACTCCACGGTATCATTCTCGTACCCAACAGCACGCCACAGCATACTCAACTTAATTACCACAATTTACTAATAATTTAAATATGCATCCAATACGATAATTCCCATTTTTCTCCCACCAAACGGCGTCAGATTAATTCCGATCCTTCACGGGACTTTCTCGCCATAATATCTAGGTTCCAAAAATTCAACTTGCGTCCCAATCGGACCATCACAGCTCGGTGAACAGTAATCCACAGCCAGTGAACAGTGATTCGAGGCATATGAACAGTAATTCCCAGCCCCTAATTTTCTGAATTTCCAATAAATATTACCCGAATTAATTCCTAAGGCCCGCCATAAAATTTTCACCCCCTATCCATGTAATTCCGCACCTAATTTCATACTGATTTCGTCCGAATTTACCCGTCGATACCCGAAGTCCTAAATTGGGTTTAGAGCGCGACTTACCCGCGTTCTAGACTTCCTCGGCTAGAACGGAAAGCGGCGGCCCTTAATCGGGGACAACGGCGACGACGTACAACTTCCGGGTGGCGGCGATCGGCTTGGACAGCGATGGAGTGGCTTGCGCGTGGCCGAGAGCCTCATGGCCAAGAGAGAGAGGGAGGGAAATAGAGAGAGAGAGGGACGGCGGGAGGGGGTGATGGTGGCGTACGGCGGCGTGGACGGTGGCTTGAGGGTGGTCCGGTGTGGTGGCGGCGAGCGGCGGCGCCGGCGGTGGAGAAAATGGCCAAGGAAGAACTCACGGTGGAGGAGGGGAAACTCACGGCCAAAAAAGAAAAGGGGGGGGGGGGGGAAGTCCACGAAGGAGAGGGAGAGATAGAGAGGAGAGGGTCTTATCTAGAAACTTTGACCCAAAAAAATATCTAAAGCAAAAATGACTAAAATACCCATTCTTCCATAAGCATGCCCTTTGTTAATCCTTAAGGGCAAAACAGTCAACTTTTTCGTTTCTTGTCCAGATTGAATTTTTTCGAAGAATTTGAGCACAACAAAAATTCACACGTGTCACGTACAACGTCGTCCTAATGTTCCGGTGTGACTTCCTAATTTTCCGGTGTCTAATTTGGGCAAAAATTCAATAATTAAATTCTATTAAACGCAACTCGAGCGTTTTTCGAGCTAACGGGCGGCTTGCTGGGGAAATTCGCAGAATCGACTAATGACTGATACTGAATCGAGTCACGTGCAAGTCCGTTCGATGCGTGACGATCTCGGTTGTCATAAAAATCGCGAAGATCAGTTCGGTATAATTTCGGAATCATTCGTCAAGTCGTTTCGTGGTCCAACGGAATCACCCGCGATCCACTACTAGGACAGTGGCGAACTGACCCCTAACTATCCTTGGATCGGCCAACAGTGGCTCAAAATATCACTTACGCGATTTAATGGTCGAAGTCCATTCACGGTCGAATTTTCTTTAGTCGCGCGAATTTAATTCCCTATTAGCCTTTCCTAATGGTTAGCATTCCCAGGGAATGATCGAGTTCCGGGCGAGAATTTACTGCGAGCACATTTCATAAAACTCAGTTATTTCATAATATCCAATTGGCAGAAATTTCGGAATGTCACAATCTTCCCCCCTTATGAAATTTCGTCCTCGAAATTTACAAATCCCACCACTACTCAAGATTTACAATCTTACTACTGCTCAAACAGCTGGGGGTATTGACGTTGCATAATCTCTTCGCTTTCCCAAACGACACCTTTTGTCCTTCGGTGCCCCCATACACTTGGATCATTGGGACTGACTTATTATGCGATCCATGATCCTTTCTATCCTCAAGCTTCATCGGCTCTTTTTACGTATGATACTTTGTCGTCCACGTCCGTTTCCCCTTAACGTGAGTCATATTTGGTTTATACTTCTTCAACGTCGGCACGTGGCATACATCGCATACTTAGGACAGATTAGGCAACGAGGCAACTTGCTAGATCATAACTCCGATCTTTTCCCGAATATCGAATAATCTAACATGCCTCGGCTCAACTTCCCTTTTCTGTCAAACTAGGATAATCTTTCCATTGATGAACACTTGGGCTGCCACTTAGTTCCCAATCTCAAGCTCTAAAAGTCGTCGTCTCTGATCATGAGACCTTTCTGACAACTCTACTTATCTGTCCGACTAAAAGTCCGTTCACAATGTCAGGAAGCATACCGACTTAGTCAATCTATCAACTACTATTCCGATGGAATCGGGTTTTCTCCGGCTTCACTTTGATCCTGTTACTACATCCGTGGGATCATGTCACATTTCCATTCAACGGTTATAATAGCCTTCTAGGCTTACTGTGCTGTGTCTTCACTTATAGGCACGTCAAACACTTGGCCATATTTACTTTCACCCCATTTTTCCGGCAGTGTCGCCACAAATCCTAGCACATTTCGTATTGCCGTGTGAACGTCGTAATTGCTCTCGTGGTCTCAAATATGATTTCTTTCTTACTCCCCACGTCATTGGACACACCTTTATGTTACTTGAGTGAACCTTATGCTTACTGTGTAAATTTCCATTCAAATTTTTTTTTTCCTCAAGTTTCGCCTCATCGGGTACACACAATCATTCCTAGAACCTCAAGATTTCTATCCCCGAGTATATGGAAATCTGACTTCCTCTTATCGGCATCCACCTTAATGACTCTTCGTATCTCGCGATCCACATAATGCCATTCCTTGTCCTGGGCCTGGATTTCCAACTAATCCTTAAGGCGATCAACAAATTCCACATTCAGTTCACCTCAAATTTAATTTCCAAGTCCCTGAGCCTTCCCAAC